CACAACCCTGTTTGGATGTCAGGTTTTAATTGCTGTGTTAGAGGAATATGGTATAACTATTGCCAATTAATTTTGAAGTCATCAACAGGCAGTTTATCATTGCTGAAATATTTATTTCCTTCATGTTTTAGAATGGAATGTGTTTTAGGTATTGTAAACTGTAGGCCATTCACCACCTATATGTATTTCTGAAATTTTTGGGGCAGATAATGAAGCGGGGGGAGAGGATGCTTTGATGGGGAATGTGAACAAACTGATGGTCACCCCTCCAGGATACACTGGACCTCCCAAGAAAGGTCATATCATCTTCGACGCCTGCTTTGAGAGTGGTGAGAGATCTTGAGTATTTGTATTTTTTAGCCCCCTTTTCATGCTGTTATGTGAACACTACTGTTCAAGAACAGCATTTATTTGAAATAAAAATCTGTTGTAACATTATAAATGTCTTTACTGTCACTTTTGATCAATTTAATGCATCCTTGCTGAATAAGTATAAAAACAAAACAAAACATTGAGCTGACCCAGAGCTGTTAAACGGTAGTGCAATTTCTGCACCATTAGCACAGGATGGATTTGCAAAAATCAAGACTCATTCTTAGCATTTTTTTCTTATCACTCAGCCCATCTTCCATTATTTAGACAAACAGGCACAAACTTACATTGTTGGCTGAGATTATTGAAGTTGAAATGACTAAAGCAGTGTCGAAAGCACAGCAGAATTTACACATTATGAAGTGATCAACCTATGTTTTGGGGATGATCAAATCCACTTTAAATATTCATTGTTTATAAAGGTAAAGGAATCTGCACCCAATATTTTTTAAGCAATTTACTAACACTAAGTTGCCATTATATGCTGAGTTTCATGAGTACAAACATATTAAGCGTGTAATACTGACATGTTCATGATCTAATTTATCTAGTGTATAAACAGAATATCAATTAAAAAGCACCTTAATTGAGCAATATGTTAACATGGCAGTTAATTAAAGATTTAGAAGAATGTATACGGTGAACAGCTAGGATAACCATCTATGCCTCTACAAATGTGATACACCCTTGAATTCCCAGAAGAGCAGTAGATCTCTTGTCATCAAACATGTTTGTACGAAAATCATTGGCAGTGTCTTTTGTTAAACCATACTATTGTAGCATATGGCAGCACAGCCTGAGAGAGACTTTTGTCCATGTGAGCAGGGCTTTTAATGGATAATTATCTCCCTTTTAAATGGAGGGGGTAAAAATTGAAGCGTTTCAATTGAAAGTGACTGCTCTTGTCGGTCTACCCACTGAAAACTGTAATTAAAGTAAGTTATGATATTTTGTAGCATGCTTTGAGTAAATGGCCTTTGTTTGGCACTTTTTGCCGGTCTGAATGAGCGGTGATGTAATGAAAATAAAGTGCTTTTGCAGTGACAAGGTCAAGTGGGCAGCTGAGAGCAGCTTTGGGCCAGATTGACAGTGAATCAGTATGGCTGGAACAGGCACAATATCATTCTTTGCTGGGAGATTAGTTTCAGGGTCTCCAGCAGATGAGACTCAGCTTTCATATTCTTGACAGCCAACCAATTCTCCCCTCTGCGGGGAGAGAGCTCGCCTGTGGCTAGACTCCCTGTGGGGAGGTTTTTTTATATAGATTTTTTGGTCTTGGAAATATTCTGTAATAGTACAATTTTTAGGTGGAGCGAGTCTTTCTGGTATTATCAGGTAGTTGCTTGTGAGCTTGGGTTGAATGTTAAGCTGACACAAAGCAGTTGGTTACGGAGCCAGTGTCTGAAATGTAAGACTGACCATTTCGAATCAATTCCAGAGTAACTTGATAAATCAATATGATTCTGAGCAACTCTACCAGAACTAATAATAAACACTGTTCACATCGTGCTTTAGCAGTTGAGCCATCTGTCATCATAGAGATGTTTATTATTGTTATCAAAACAATGACGCTCCTCGTAAGGATGTTGACGGTAGCCATGTTTGTGAGCCGAGAGTGGATGATGTTTTGCGGCAATAAAAGGACATGGAATATTAACATAAGATACAGAGCCAAAGTCAATATAAATAAATAAATAATCAGGACGTTTTATAAGTTTCTCGGTTTTCCCCTCTGACTGCCCCCGAGGACCCTGAGGCACTGATTAATGAACATCCAGCCGTAAGACCAGGATCAGCTAACATATATGACATTACCCCCATGTCTCTGGCTCGGCAAATTCTCTGAATGATTTATGGAATAGATATTAATCTGCTTCCAGTAAACGCATTATCCAAGTTGGAAAATGGAGAGGAATTGATGTTACAGCGCTAATGTCAAATTAATGTCCTGTTGCTGTTTCAGCAAAGCAACACTGCAGTGAAATTATGTTAACCACTTACACACTGACAAAAGGGAAGCGGCACTTTCTTGGCAACAATTGGGGCTTTTGACGTAAGTGACTTTGAGAGCTGAAGCCGCCATGTCAATTGAAGGACTTAAGACGCAATAGTTCAGCAAAGTTTTCGGAGCTAGGCACATTAATCAAACACTCTTCTCTTTATGTTGAAGAAGATGTGGAAATGTAAAGGTTTGTGGCGATGTGGGCTAATTTGTCAGAAAGCCACCTGTCAGCAAGTGATAACTTTTCACTGTTCGCAGCCTCTCCTTTGTTACGGTGAAAGTCAGCACCTTGGAAATGGAAATGATATTTAATACACAGTCAAAGGATAAAATATCCCCTTGGATAGCTCGTAAAAAATGAAAATAATAGCATAGATGCATTAGATATAACTTGCTCAGATTTTGAGAAAAAAAGTTAAACTCTTTTTCAAAACAAATGGCTGTGCAGCCAGTATTAGCAGTTTCAGTTTATATACAGTATATACTAGTGTTGGCTGATTAACTAACTAAAGCTAGTGATGCTACTAACTTAACTGAATTTTTTAGTTGCATGACTTAGTTCATCTGTTTTTAAAGTAGTGAAAGTTTTAGTTATTCTAGTAAATCTAGTTCTATGGAAACCTTTGTTTAGGAAGTTCATGTTAATGATTATTTTGATAGTTGATTAATCTGTTATTATTTGTTTGATTAATCTGATAAAAGTCAGATTAATTAGTAAATATTAAAATGTGTACTTTAGTTATCTGCTTTATGTTTGTATCTTGTATTGTATCTAATTACAATTATTGCTAAGCATGAGTGTAGCTTAACTACTGCAAATTATGATTAGCTTGTAGCTTGTTAAGCAACAGTTTTAGAGTAGCTTCCCCAACACTGATATGTACACTGTGGCTGCTACATACAAGCTTTCAATCCAGGAACGCACCATCTATGGGATTTCAAGCAAATGTGTCTTACTTAAAAGCCAAGATATCACTCAAGTTCCTTTTCTCTGCCAGCAAATTTGTTTCTTGTTTCTTTCTCCCTTTAGACAGCTGTCATGAATTAAAAAAAAAGAAAAAGGCTCTTATCTTTAGTATCCGGGTAATAAATTCTAATTGGTTAATTAAAACAGACCATGGATACGTAAACTGTTTACTGAAGGCATAAAACACTTAATTTACATTTAGATGAGATGTAACTCATTTTCTTGTCAGCCATATGCAGATTAGGTCAGTGGTATATCTTTTCTTAGGCATTTGGGCCTACAGGTTTCTATTTCTCTATCACTTCTGTGTCTCTGTCTTTTTTTTAGTGCAACTTATTAAAATAACCCCCATTATGCACAGTTTGATAGTAAAAAACATAATGAATATTTCCTGAAGGCGTCATTAAAATGGTATTGATGGCTCTATAGATATAGTTACGTTTGCCGCATTATGTAAATTCCATAGATTCTTGAATTTAAAAGAGCTTTAATGGTTATAAGTGGCACTTTAATCTTGTGATATTATCTGAGGTTTTTAATAAACTGATATGGTTTTGTTCTAGTTTAGAAACATTTGTTTGTCTTTTTTTTTTCTTTTGGAGTGGCTGACTTTTTTTATTTACTTTTTTATGATAACAGACATTGAGAGGATTGATAGTCTTGCATTAATCTATGGCCTCTGGATAAAAGCATTCAAATTTAGCATGCCAGAATCAAGAATAAAAGTACATTTATTGTAAACCTTTTTGCATTTTGAAGAAATCTTTTAAAGTGCATGTCATTTATTACCTCACACCCGCTCTTTCATTCGTGTAGATGTTCTCACATCAGTTTCCTAATTCATTCTGGGGGCAAATTATGTCAAAAAATTTTCTCCACATGCTGGTGCTTATCTGAGGCTTTGAGTGATAAAACTTATTGACTGTAGCTGCTGATTAAATCTGGTGACAGCTAGAGGCAGAGGAAGAAGGTGTGTGCACGTCTACACAAGTGCATATATGTGTATGCGTGTCTACATAATGATTCGATTCCTACCAAGGGCAGAATATAATGTATCCACCAATGACAATCCGAGACGTGCGGTACCCCCTAAGCATTTAACGGATTTGCACTGGGGATTTTAAATTATCCATTGTAATCATAATAGATGAAAAAACTCCTTCGATTCAGCAAACAAAAGAAATGTGTTCGGAGAGGGGACAAGGCCTCAGCCGCACGTTTGCTAATGAGGATAAACAGTAGGGAAAAATCTCTCTGCTGATGGGGCTCTAATTGTTTTGCGTCCCCACCCCCCGTTCTGTAGAGTTTCTCTGTCTGTTTTTATCTTCCCTCAAAAGTCCTCATGCTTCATGTCACTCTTGCAGAGTGCATCTAGTGGATGAATGATTACATTTAGCACCCCAGGAAGACAAGAGGGGGATGGAGGGAGAGAAAAAAATGCAAGGAAGCAAAGGGGACAAAAAGCAGCCAGACTTGCCACTGCCAGCAGATATTTATATACTTCAGATGTACCCTGAATCAAGACAGTCAGATCCCCATTGATTAAAGAAGTGGAAACATTCTAACACTCAGGCTTTATGCTCAGCACAAGTGCCTACACAGCAAAATATCCAGTGTTGTTTAGAGTTGTTTTTATGGTGTTAATTTATCAGAGTTAAAAAGTGTTGATTCTGGTGTTGATTTGAATGGCATTAACACTTGCAGTGTAAATCAGTGGTCGGAGTCAGTGTAATTACAGCGAGTTGACATAATTGACACTGGTGATGAGTTGATCCAATTTCCGGTCCTTGCACATTATTTCCTTTTTGATTAATGGCGGACAACCACGAGGAGAGGACAGTGTTCAAACAGGTATAATATTTTATAACCACTTAAATTGACCAATTTTCATGTTTAGTTTACGTTTCTCACCATTCAGAATAATATTAGTACATTTCTCAACATTGCCAGAGTGCTAACAGTATTTCTTTTCAGATAACGCGACAGACCACCGACAGGATATCGAGGCCATTTAGCTGCACCACTTGTTAGCAAGCAAATTGAGGTAAGAATGGCATTGTTTGTTAGTTAGCCGTTTTAAACGTAAGTTTTCTTATATTTGAGAATCTGGGGTAGATAACAGGGTCGTTTCTGTGATTTGTGTAACTTGACTGTTTAATGAGTTAAATTAACGCAAATAACGCAGCATTTAATGTAACGTTAACATTTGTGGGGTGACAAATTGAGCTTTTGACCACAGCGGCTCGCTGGACTTTCTTTAATATTAACAAAGTCATAATTTGCATTTTTCTTGACCAACAGCTTTCATGTTCATCAAGGCGTGAAGAAATTTGTAAAACTGCACAGCGATAGTAGGTTCCAAAACTTTCTCACTGAAGGTAAGCTAAGAATCTTGTTCTACTGCTTAGAAATGTACGTAGTCATATAGGAATTATGCTTGCGGTATAAGCCCACAGTGCTTGTGTATGCTAACACTTTACAATAAGGTCTCATTTGTTAACATTAATTAATTAATGTGCAAACTAACAATGACTAACTTTAGTATTAGTTAAAAGTAGAACTGTTTGTTCATTTTAGTTCATAGTGCATTCATGTTTACAGATACAACTTTTGATTTTTATAGTGTATTAGGAAATGTTGAGATTAACATTAACTAAGATTATTAAATGCTGTAGAAGTATTGTGCATTCTTAGTCCATGTTAACTAATGAAACCTTATTGTAAAGCACCAGACGTCAGCTTGTTAATATTGTTATCAGTCACATGACGGCAATTCATGGGTAAGACTTCAGTGCTCAAATGCAAGAAATACACACAGCTGTGTCAATTGGTGTAGAAAACAATGTTAAGTTTAGCATTAACTTTTTTTTTTTTTACATTGAAGGAGGGATCCCCACCCGCAAACAGCAGGAAACTTATGCCTTGGACATTTGTCGAGGAAGAACCCAAAACGTGTTGGCTTGGAGATGACTGAAAGTGGAGGACCAAGTCGACGAAGAAGGATAGATGATGTGCAACAACTTGAAGGAGATGCATGCATGAGAAAAGGGTGAGAAAATTCATTTAATGACGTTTTCCTTTCACTGTAATACACAAAGCATGATATCAACTGGTTTTGTTTGGCACGTATTGAGTTAAGATGTGTTATATAGGTGTTAATTTTTAATTATGCATTTCATTTCACATTGTAATTAGTGTTTTTTATTTATTTATTTATTTTTTCCTGGTTTATTTAATCTAATTTGTGCTTTTTTTCAGTCCTGCACCAGTATTGAAGGCCGTCTCGGCAGGAGGGAGGGCCACCAGCCATTCCTACTGAGATCAGGAAGGAGTAAGGGCAGGATCAACCACTTTTACGTCGTTGTGGACAAGCGCCTCATCCCTTGCGTTGGAACCAGCTCCTTGAGTGCCTTTGAACTTTTTAAAGTTCACTATGTCTTCAACCTGTCCTACGAGAAAGCCCTGGTGTCAAAAGCCAACAGCTTGTTCTACAGGCCTTTTGATCTGCAGTGTTTATATGGGTTAGATGATGGTTAATATATGGTGCCTTTTTTTGTGTTGGTGTAATAGTTACATCTGTGTTAAAAATAAAATTTCAAACTGATACAGCATGTTGACTTTTTTATTTATTTATTTTTTTACACCGAATGCACAGGTATTTTTAGTCGAATACAGATTACACTTAATTACCTTAATCAGGGTTAGTATGAACACTATATTAGTGTGGAAATAAGTCTCTTGGTGTTAAGATATTGACACACGTAGTGTAGTTTCAACACTAACTTGGTGTAAATGAGGGGGAGGGAAAACACTAATGGTGTTAATGGTGAACACTTACAGTGTTGTTTTTACTCAATGCAAGTGTAAAAAAAGTAACACTATTTAAAGTGTTAGTTTAACTCTATTTAGTGTGGACCTATATAAACCCCGAAAAAGTGTTAATTTTTTCACTGTGAGTGTTAATTTAACACTTTCAAATTTGCTGTGTACAGGAGACAGAAGGGCTTACAGGGAGGATGAAGGGTACTTAGACCGATATTAGGCTACTATAGATGTATCCCTGTCCTCAACAAAACATAACAACATGGGCAAGCATAAAAAGACAAGTGGAAGAGATATTAGTCACAGATTTTGTGCTTAGCGCTTAGAAGATGAAAGTTTTGCTTGTAAACGCCTTGGTGTTTAGCAGAAGAGTCACGCTCCTACTAAGAAGGCTACATCACTGTCCAGTGTCTTATGGTTTTCTCTCTATTTTTTCTTGAGGTCTTAAGGAGGATTGAATTGATTTGGGCTGTTTTCTGAGAAAAACCCAGAGCAGGTTTCTGATTTATTGTTTTTTATCAAGCATTTTTGTCCTCCATCTTGCTAGTTGAAGCTGGCCTGCTTGTCCTTTGACAATTTTGTAGCTTTATCTCTTTCATTCCACTAACTGATACTCAGGCCTGTGGTGTTATACAGCTCTGACCCTGAAGAAAATATCCCTGCACTCAGACACCATGTGTGGAAGGGGTTTCACGCTCTCCCCCTCCTAAACCACAAGGTTAACAGCCTCGCTTCTTGAGTTTTACTGTAACACATCCTTACTCATTGTGGCCCTTTACTCATATATCACTCAGTCAATGCACAAAGCCAAACAGCTGTAAAATTTACAGTTATTTCACAAAGTGGTCTGAACAGTTTGTTTTCTGTCACAAAATAGTATTTTTCTTTTTCTATCCACTAGATTGTTGTAAAAAATTACATGAAACAACAATTGCAAACCATTAAGCTTCAGTAATTTACTATGTATATTTCTGAGTAAAACAAATATAAGTGTAGGACTATGGAAGTTATTTCTGCATCAATCAATCAATCAATCAATCAAAAGGAAAAAGAAAAAAAGTAATTGCAACCTTTCTGACTTTTTCTCTCAATTCTAAGTTTATATCTCACAGTTCTTAAAGAAACTCAGAATTGGGAGATGTAAAGCCAAAATTGTGAGATAAAATATTACAATTACCTTTTTTATTTTTCTATTCCGTGGCAGAAATAACCATATTGGATTGTACTTGAAGATTTGATATTGATTGCTAAACTGTAATTTTATTTGTTAATAGTATTTTTCATTGTCTTTGTGGCCTTGATGATGTCAGAAGTACGTAAAGTTTGTTTCAGTGGTGGTAAATCCTTAATGAATTTTGAAAAAAACAAGCATGTTTGTTTTTCACTGTCTTTCACTGGCCTGTGTCTCTCATTTTTAAACATTATTTGTACCCTTAGACCTGTTTTTTTCAACGTAAGTTAACATGAAAGAACAAGCAGTTGTATTTGCGCTTTGAACTTTGCATCTCTATACCACATCCTACAGTCTCATGCACAGAGATGAACCGCATAGCTGAACTATAATTTGAATTGGTTCTCACTCTTCCTGCCGGCATAGCAACTGCTTCTCAGAGCAGAAGTGCACAGTGGTCTGCGCACAGTCATGCTGTAATATTTACCCACCCCTAGAGTGCTCGGTTACAGAGTGTGTGTCCGCGCTGTGGAACGAGCTGGGCGAGCAGATATCTCAAATGTGCACAAGCAAATGAAACAGGTGATAATCCTGCCTGACATTCTCACCATCAGCCTTGGTTATGTTTGATCAGAGCCCTGCAGCCTGGAGAGATCTGGAATGAAACTTCAGCTCTTAGGCTATTGATGGCTGTTGAGATACCTGCATGGGAATATCATGGAGTGCACGTGTGGTTGCGCATATTTTATTGACGTGTTCTTTGAGGTATTTCCTCTGGTATATTGCTCTGTGAATTGTCAGAATGTGTTATAGTGTGGTTTTAGTGCCTTGTGCTCTTTTGCATGCTTTGGGGATCTTTCTTTTTACCTATTCTAATGTATAAAATATGCACAATTTGTAGCGTGAATCATATTTCCCTTTAATTTTGCCTATTTTTATCATTTGTTCTATTTGGTTGGTCCACAAATTTAATTTCACCCAAATTGATGTATTTGGCAGATGCTTTAATTATCCAAGGTATGCATGTACATATTCATGTGTTCCATGGGAATTGAATCCATGCTCTATGTGTTGCTAACGCTAGGTTCAGTTCACTGGGGTGCATCAAAATTCAGAAAACCGCTTTAACACCAATCAAATGAGCCAAACTCTTATCTTTTCATGGCAAAACACAAGCATAATTTTTTTATAGGCAAGTCTTTGAATCCAGCAAGTCTTACCTTGTGGTTAACGACCAATCCTTTTTCTGTTTGTTCTCCATTGAAGTATTGTGATTGCTAACACATGTCCTCTATGCTGAATTTCCTCCAGAAGAACACGAAAGATGTTCCGTTACCGAATGAAATTGGTTCAGTGCTATCAAATTAGACACAACTAGGAACCAGTTTTCAAACCGTACAACACATTCCCACTTTCAGCCACTCAGTTTAGAAACTAATTCCTGCCATGTGTTTTACTTGCGAACTTGACACATACTTCAATTAGCACCCTTCACATGCTCTCACCAGCACATTATAATGGGCGGTATGAAGACTAGCATAACACTCACGGGCTCAGCGTTTTCTATTTTACAGTTATTAGCAGAAGGTTAACTTGGAGCACAACTGCCTCTTCTTTAAAGCAAATGGAATCTGTGCGGTTTTAGCCGGACACTGACCCCTATTAGGAGAGCCTCCAACGAATGGCGGCTTTCCTGACTATCTGCGTGGGGTCATGCCGTATGTGTGTGTTTTTCTCAATGAGCTCTTTAACCCGCTCTCTAAGCCGCCACTCTTGTGTAGAGAGTGTTTAATATACTAGGTCAAGTGATCGAGTCAGTATCACCATTGGCTCCGTTCCACTTTGTGTAGTAAAGTCATTTGAACTTGTTTCCGCAGTTTCCAGGTTTTGTTTAAATACTTCTTTCGTATTTAACGCTTCAAGGAGTCGTGGCTGCCTGTTGGGCCATTGTTTGCTGTTAAAGCTCAAAAGCTGAACAAAAACATGCCGTTTTTGTGCATTCAAAAGCAAAGTTCGGAAACGGCGCAGCGAGCAGGGAATAGAGAGCGTCTCACAGGTGAAAATGACTACACAGAGCCGTGTTGCGATACGTTGCCGCATGAACACGCTGCTCCACGATGATGGAGTAATCCATTTCCCCAGCAGCTCTCCTGATGCCATAAACACAGGCGCTAGGCGGACATGCCATTCCTCATTCTAGGCAAGGACATGCAGTTTGGAAAAACGCTGGAGATTTGTAATGCCTTAGCGCTCTGTGTTTTTCCTTTTTCTTATTTTACACCGCCTCTGTTTATATTGCTGATTTATTTAAAACATTTTCTTTGAGATGAAGTTCATTGATGTGTCAGGTTGCGTTTGATATCACACATTTGTATGCTCCGGGTATGTTTGTAAACCGATGCATAAGAACAGAGAGGAATTTTAATAGAAATACCATCTGTTTGGATTCTGACAGCTTCTTGAGACTGAACCAAAACCTGTTCGTCAGGTTTTGCCACGGCTGAAATCTGTAGCGTTTCGCATGCATGTACAGTACTACTCGAGGATATATAACGAATGTTTTGCAAACAGATAACTGCTTCCTGTGTGCCGTCCTCAAACTTGTTGACTGTTATTCTACATCATTTGAGCACATTCCCCCCTACAAAGATAAAAGCTCTGATTGTTGCTCTCTGCTGAGATTGTATTCAAACACTTCAGTGTTACGTAAAATCACAAAGTGCCGTAGTGCATCTAGATTTACTGTTTTGCTAACAGCACCTCTTGTTTGCATTCTCTGCTCTGTGGTATCTCTGTGAACAGAGCAAAGCATAACATTCAGAGTGAACGGTATTGATCTGTAAAGGACGTGATATTCATCATGTAAGAATATTATTCAGTCTAAATTTGGCGTGGTAGATGGTAACGTTAATAGCAAAATCTATAGCCTTTCATCAGCTGCTAGGCTGTGAGAAGTGTGTCAGAGAAGATTTTTGTCAAAAAAGATTCTTTGAGAGAGTCTAAAAAGGCCTGCGTCTAGCAGAAAACCAATTCTAGACCGCCTACCGTCTTTGAATCGGGAACATTTTAAGTGTGCAAATACTTTGCCCTTAATTAGAGCAAAAACTTTGCATCTGTCCTTTGAAGAGGGTTCAAGAAGCTTCCTTGCTCTTGGCAGCCACCGCTGATTCCAGTGCCTCCTGCCATGCAGCCAAAATGACGTCCCTGTTTTATTTTTGCCCTGAAATAAGAGACATTCAGAATGAATATCGAATGTACTGTAAATCGAATCCCTCATAGGCTACATTCACATAGCAGCAAAATACAGCAGTCAATCCAGATTCATAGTGCTAAATATGGTTCCATTGACACACAGTTTGATTAAACCGAAGTGACAACTGTATTTTATAAACCAATTGACACTTAACCACATTTATCTCAAGTGCTCCTAAAAATAAAAAAAAGCTGTATATGGATTGCATCTCTCTGAATGTAAATTATTTATCCAGCTTATCTGTTCCTATATCTTCTTTCAAATATTTTAA